ACTTTACCCCACCGAGAGAATTCCATAGATTTCCACTCTTTCAACAATTTATTTGTTTGCTAAATTAAAGAGAGGAAATTACATTCAATTATCCTAGTTGGGTCAGAGCACACTTTAATGCCCAAGCACTTAAATTAATATTCTGCCCAAAGAAAATCTAAATTTGCTTTAATTTTGTTTTTAACCTTGTTAGAGATATTGCTAGGCAGAATTATTGATTTATCCATATTTAATTCATATCCTGATACTTTAGAAAATTCTTCTATTGTTTTATTAGTTGTGTTACTGATTGGACCGGATCTTGTAATGTTAAAACGACATCATCTGCATACATATTTATCTTGATGTTACTTGAGTTGGGATTAAAACCTACGATTCCGTCATTTTGTCTTATGGCTGTGGCTAGTGGTTCCAAAGACAAAATATAAAGTAAAGAGGATAGGGGGCACCCTAGCAGTCGGCAATGTATATAATGCTTTTATTTGATCAAGGAACCTACCCTTTATTACAAACGCCGACAGTGAAAACATCAGCAACTCCCAGCTGACACGGTCAAATGCATTTTTTGCATCTAACGAAATGGTCAGCAAGGGAGTCCCCGACGTCTGTACGGCGTCTAGAATGTCTGTGTCTTCTAGTGTTATGAATTGCCGATCTGCCCGGGATAAATCCCACTTGGTCTCTATTTTTCAGACTATCAATTATTGTTTTCATTCTCTCTGCTAACATAGAGGAATTTAGTTTAATGTCTATGTTCAGCTGAAAGAGTTCTGGGTCTTTATCTTGTTTCTGTATTGGAACAATATTTGCCTGCAATAGTTCTTTTGGAATATTAGTTGAATGACCAAAGACATTAAACGTTTCCAACAGATCTGTTTTAATGTTATTATTCATTAACTTATAAAAAAAGATTATTAAATCAATCCTGCCCAGGTTTTTTATTTTTTTTTTATTTATCAATGCAAGTTATCATTTCTATTTCTGTAAATGGTTTATTTAGGTGTACTAATTGGTTTTGTGTTAGTTTCGGTAGAGAGCTATTATTAAAAGTTATTAATATTTGTTTTAGACGGCCTATTTGTTAAATTGTACATTTTTTGATAATTTCTCTTGTCTCAACAGTGTTACACCATTATTGATTATTTTATTAATGACTCTCTTTGCTCTTTCTTTTTTTTAGATGATTGGACATTAGTTTGTCAGCTTTATTCCCTAGATGGTACAATTTGTAAAGCTTTAGTAGCCTTTTTTAATTAATTGATCATTAATTATTTTTTCAATATCTGATATTTTATTAGAAAGTTGTAATGAGGGAGATAATTTGTTTTGATAATGTTAGTCATCTAGGTTTATATATAGCTCTGCTAAGTTTATACATTTTTCTTTAAGTTTTTTTTTTCTTTAGATGTTAAGTTTATCAAATGGCCTCGTATGACGCATTTATATGCGCACCAAGTGACTGGGGCCATTATCTCTTTTCCTCTCTCATTAAAAAAAAAAAAAAACAAGTCTGTTAGATCTTGAATGTGTTTCACATTCATGACAATTTTTAAAACCCAGTCATTCAATTTCCATTCTGGTATATATTTTTTTTAATTTTATTTTATTTTTATTTTTTGCAGTGCATAAGGGTACATACATGCTTGAGGTGCCCCAGCAGCAGTCCACAAGCTAATCATCAATTATTAGAGTTGGACACATTATATAACTTGCACAATTTTTTGGTATTATCTCGTTCAGCTGTCACGTCTGAGCTTGATGTCAGAGTAGCCTTAGGAGCTTCGCTATGACATGTGCGTAGAATCGCTTTTAAAGACCTCAGATACGATAGAAGATTAAAGATTATATATATATATATATATATATATATATATATATATATAGCACGGTACCATTGCCCCGAGCAGTAGCTATGAATCCGTTAATGATCAATAAAGCGAAGGAACTAAGAGTAAGCAGAGAAAATCATATAAAAGGCATGGAAGGCATAAGGTAACAGTACACAGTTCACTAGCTAATGGTTAGCGGTTTATAACTCCGCTGTTTGCTCTTTTGGCAGAGGCTTATGTAGCAGTCCCCCTTTAGGCTTAACCTACTCCCGTTCTTGGTGTGCTGGCCGTGCCATCCGTCGAGTCTTCCTTGCCTGCATGGGAATCTCTCCAGCCCCAAGCCTGTTCGAGGGTCGGCATCAGTGAACCACATACCTGGTTTCTATAATAGGCCAAGTCTATTCCCAGCAGGGAGTGGGCAGAGGATTGAGATGTCTTCTGCCGTATGTCGCAATCTTCCGACCTTGTGGTTGATGCAGGATAAGTTTGCCTCTTGTGGCTTTCAGCCTGGGAAGGCGAGTGGCAGGTCTCGTGGGTGTTTTCGCCGGATCTCCGCCTTGAGTAGATCCCCTCACTGGCAGTCGCTGGTGTATCCTTTCTCCATTGCTTTTGCTAGCCTCAGTGGCTTGGACGTGGTGCCTCAGTCTACTCCAAAAACGCTGAAATATGGCATCCAGCCTCCTCAAGGAATCTGCCATGTGGTCACGGGTGGCTGCCTGCAATGGACACTCTGCGTTCAGTTGCGGGCGCCTGGCCGCCACCATCTTGCAGGAGTGGAAATCCTGCACAGCAATCTCTTCCAAGTGGCAAGTGCCCGTGCTGGTCATTCTTGTGGGTTCTGAGGGGACCGGCATGACCCGCACCGGTCCGGGGGCGGGTAAGAGTGCTGCGGAGTCAGGTCCAGGGTTTGAGCTCGGGTGGATTGGCCGCATCCCCCTCAGCCTTGTCCCAGGTAGGCCGCATCAAGGCTCCCAGGCTCTCTGTGTGAGTGAGTGCTAGAGTAAGTTAGCGATTAGCTAGCCCGGGGTCCTCTGACCTTCAGTGTGCGGGATGTTGGACGTGGAAGCCCCAAAATCGGGTATAATGCTCTAAATACTGGCTTTAATGCAGGAGCTCTGGCTTCCCACGTCTGGTCAGCTCCGCCCCCCCGATATATATTTTTTAATATGATCGTCTAAATCCATAATTATCGGGTTATGGTCGGACCATGAAGTCGTAGTAATAAAAATCTTTTTAATGACTTTTGCTACAGATCTGTCACCTAATATCAAATCAATTCTAGAATATGAGTTAAATCACTTGGAAGAACACGAGAAATCTTTTTCCGCCAGCACTCTAACAGAGCATGCAGTTTAATGACTTCAGAGAATCTTTTAGCATTATTCACTAAATTCCCATTTTTGTATTTTTTTTATCCAGTGATCGTTTGTCTAAATCTGGATCTAGAATACAATTGAAGTCCCTTATAATTACGACCTGTCCTACTTTAATACAATCAATTTTATATACAACTTTTTAATAAATTAAATTGATTATGTATTTGGAGCATATATGTTAGCTAGCGTAAGTTTTTGGTTATTAATTTCACATACTAAAATAATAAATCTGCCTTCACTATCCAAAACTTGATAATTTTGTAAGCAATATCTTTCAAAAAAACGAAAGCAACACCTCTTTTTTTTAAGTTAGCGCTGAACTTATAACTGTGGGAAAACATTTTGAGTTAAATTTATGTTTGTCCTCCATAGTCTGAAAAGTTTCTTGGAGGGCCCCAATGTGGATGTGTTATCTCTTCATGTAATCTAATATTGTGTATCTTTTAAAATGTGAATTGATCCGCTGCGCGTTAATAGTAGCCAGTCTAATACCATATTTTAACCAAATTCTCCTCTCATCTGGAGGGACTAGGAAACTCATCGCTTTACAACGCAGAAATAACAAAAAACATGGACTCGATTGACTAACAGTGCCTGCTTGAAATATATAAACAGATATTCCGAGCCATTCGTTGGACATACTCTCGTCTACTGGAGAATCACTCTCCCTAACACACTTGTCGGCAATTGCCTCCTCCGAGTGTCGACTAAAACCCTTGTCTATGCCTCACTGGTCCTGAAAGACCGTTGCCTTGCCCCTTACTGCCTAGCGGTTTGGCCCTTGTATTCCTTTCCCAGGTTCCTATTCTTTCATTTTTGAACAAAGGAGAAAAAAAATAAAATAAAATAACATTACTAAAATGCTTACATTTGCTTGGTTAGAAAGCTACGGATGTTTACTATCTCTTATCATTTTACTGATGTGAGGAGTATGCAAAAAATGTATGTGTAATATGTTTAAAAACCAAGTGTTTACTACCAACAATTTTTTTTTTGTGTTCGGGGCATCTACAAAATGTGTAAATTTATCTTTAATTAGCTGTGTAGTTATACGTGATTCCTTTAGTGTTGTCTTTCCCTTCTAGGTATCTATGGTCTGTACCTTTACTTCCTGGTCTCAACGTGATATAAAAAAGTTACGTTCTATTTTACCCCTCCTGGTTCTGTGTTAGGGGTATCGACAAAAAGTGTAAATGTATCTTTAATTAGCTGTGTAGTTATACGTGATTCCTTTAGTGTTGTCTTTCCCTTCTAGGTATTTATGGTCTGTACCTTTGTAAAAGTGTGCTATTTTCTCTGTTCTTTATCTTTACTTTTCCTATCATTTCGGTTATCCACTTTTTCCTTCCAGAGAAACAAACAAACAAAATAAAAAGCGCAAGAAAATGCTTACATTTATCAAAACGTTAATTTCCTCGTTGTTGCATTATATATTTCTAGATCTATTTTCAAGTCATATATATACATGGTAACCTACAAATGAATACATATAACAGACATAGTGTAATCTGTATGTACAGAAATAATAGGAAAAGGAGATATGCACATCAAACTCACAATTTCCACAGCCTTTTTAAAAGTTGGCTCTAAACTTAGGGGGCATATCGTCTCCTCCTTGAGACACAAAGTAATCCTCAGGAACTTGAAGCTGGTGATATGGCAAATCAGTCCTCAGGAACTTGAAGCTGGTGATATAGCAGCAGACTCCAACATAAATATTTAAAAAGTAATGAATTTATTTCACCAAATAAAAATATATAAAATACATAAATTATAGCACAACGCGTTTCAACCAATATAGGTCTTTCTCAAGTGCATCTCTGGAGAAATAATAGGAGATGCACTTGAGAAAGACCTATATGATCTTGATAAAGACCCTATTGGGTCGAAACGTTGATGATTGGATTTTTCAACACCGGATTATAAATATTTTTTCAAAATCCTTCGGAGTGCTCCTTTATTGATTGTATATATCGAGTGGCTTGGAAGCACCCGGGTAATTTCTGTATTTTATTTGGATTCAAAGGAAGAGTGCCAGAGTTTGCTTTTGTATAAATATGTATATATATATGAACAAAAAATAATAAAGGACTACGGCGCTTAAAATTCTTATAACCTGGTGCAGCCAAAAAATTACCCAAGTGTAGTGGCACCTATTACACTTAAAACGTGATTGTGAAAAAAAGGGTGAAGGTAATTAGCGCTCACAGAAAGAAATAGATGTTACCTTGTACATATAGAGATGAATCAAAATTCTGATAACCTGATAACCTACAAATGAATACATATAACAGACATAGTGTAATCTGTATATACAGAAATAATAGGAAAAGGAGACATGCACATCAAACTCACAATTTCCAGAGCATTTTTAAAAGTTGGCTCTAAACTTATGCCTCCTCCGAGTGTCTTGATAAAGACCCTATTGGGTCGAAACGTTGATGATTGGATTTTTCAACACCGGATTATAAATATTTTTTCAAAATCCTTCGGAGTGCTCCTTTATTGATTGTATATACATATTTATATATATGTATATATATATATATTTTAACCATTACATATTATAAATTTCACACAATGTGCACATCAACCTATACATGTGCCTATTTTCCCTTTTTCCCCCATCCCTCCTCCACTTCCTTCCCTTATGAACATACTTAAGATTTTGTTTCATCATACACCACCTTCTAATTCATTCCAAACCTTCTATTCTTGCTTATTATATTCTATATGAAAAACCGAAAAAGAAGAGAGAGAAAAAAAAAAACGTTTTCTTTCTCCATTTCATGCTTTTCCTTTTTTTTTTTTTTTTCTTCAATTTAATTTAAATCATTTTTCTTGAAGCCATTGCTCAAGGGTCTGCGGTTTGTGAGAAATACACTTGTTGTCTTCATAGGTTAAGTTCAGTCGTGTCGGAAAGCCCCGTGCATGTTTTATTTCATGTTTTCTGAATATAGCTGTAAAGGGTGCAAATGCTTTCCTGTTCAGTCTTGTAAGTGATGATAAGTCTTGAAAGTTTTATTATTTGTGAATAAGATGAATCTTTGAGGTAGCAGCGTTGGCACGTACCACTAGTGTCTTGAAGCGGAATGAATACAGGCACACGATCACATCTCTTGGTACATGTTCTGGGACAGAGTTAGGTTTCATGACTCTGTGGCTTCTTTCAATATAGTTGGTTTATTTGCTTGGGAATAGACCCAAGAATTTTTAAAAATATTTGCAGTAGTTTTGTAAGTTAAATGCTGAGATATTTTCCGGAGTTCATCTTATTCTGAGGTTATTTCTTCGTGACCTAGCCTCAAGATCTCAAATTTTGTTTAGTAGATATTCCGTTTTTTTCTTTTAGTATTTTCAACCTCTCTGAGTTGGTCTGCGTTTGAAGGGAGATGTTATCCGTTTTTTTTCAATCTTTCTCCGATTTTAGCTAAGGCACTTTTAATATCAGTAGAGGAGGTGAGGATTTCTGCTTTCATTTTTACAAGTTGTGCTTCAAAGCATTTAGGTAATTGCTCTGCAGTGATGATAGTCGATTCTGGACACCGGTATTCTGGCGACCCACTATCTATTTCAGGCACTTTATTTTCAAACTAGCTTGAATCATCTTGCATTCTGGGCTGGGTACCTTTATCAGACTGAGGTGAAAACAAATTAGACACTCCTCTTTCTTGTGGTACTTCATGTTTTTTGGGCTTTTTTTGTGATTTGTTTATTATCCTGTGCTTTTTTTGATGCATTTATTTATTTATTCCCTTTTCTTTACTTTGCTCTTTCTTAACGTAGGAGAAGTTTTGTGTGATCTATTATTTTGGTCAAGATAATTGCTATATAGTATCTTCGAGCTTGTGTATCTTCGAGCACTTACTATTTTTCTTTTTTAAACCATTGGCTCTTTAGCTGCTTATCCCAGCTGTTTTAACTTGCCAATTTCAGCATTCTTCTAAGCTCCTTTCGCCAGCTTGTACCGACCGGGGTCGGCTGGTAACTCTTGTCCGGCACTGCTACCTAAACCTCCTCGCCGCAAAACAGATCGCAGCCTCTCACCGTCTCGGCATCAGCGCTTTCTCGGAACCCGCAAGTCTTCCCACGAGGCGTAGGCGCATGCGTGCATCTACATCATGCCACTCACCGACCCGTAGTACGATCTTATTGTGATGATGCTCAAACATAGATGTGAGTTGTAATAAGATGACCTTTATTTTTGCTAATGCCACTTCTACATTTCAGGTCTGCACGCACAGCTGAGCAAGACAGGAGCAATCGCCAGACTTCCTCAGAATATTCACCCTGTGAGTTATAAAAATTTGTTTTGGGTGTTCACACATTCTGTGCCAGGCACCTTACTAAATGATGCCATTCTACATTTACACCAATATGTAGCTCTGCATGTAGCTGCCACAAGGGATAATGAGGGAGGGCATTCAGGAAGCCCCCATTATAACTGTTAAAATAAACCAGGGGAATCTAAGAGGATCTTGGATCCATGCTCACCTAGAGGAACAATATACCTAGAGGAAAAATAAACTGTTTTTTTAGAACACGGCAAACTCTTTTCCAACTCTCCCTTACTTGATTTGAATTGATCTGTGTGTCCCTGCCTGCTTTGTCCTGAGAACTCGCTTCATTTTTCCTTGTTGTACATCGGTTGCAGGTGGAACTGCTCATTGCTTCTCCCTGTTACACTGATGGTCATAAAGATACTAGCTTCTATTATCATTCACTCCTCGATCATGGGCAAAAGAGAAAAAGTATTTTGTGAGTTTTTGTGGGGGTTTTTTTCCGTCTCCTTAGCCCTCATTACCTGCTTTTGGCTTTCCCAATTTTTTTCAGAAGGAGTTCATGGTGGAACAGCTTGTTGAGTATCCATTGAGGTGTCTGGTGCTTGTCGGCCAGGTGGCTGCGGAGATGTGGCGCAGGAACGGGCTCACTATAATCAGCCAGGTACAGAGATCTAGCTAAACTAGGAGTTTTGAAGTATAGCCAACAGGGCAATTTTTTTCAGCCTCAACAGCTTTGCTGTCATCGTAAAATGTAAGATTAATGTCCTTTCTGCTCACCGTAACACGTTTTGATCTATTAAAAACTGAAGAGATTGGTACCCAGGATTCTTGACTGCTCTATATTTTTGCTAAGTATTAGTGAGGCTGACTACAGTATAGATCATTGGTAAACATCTGTTTGGATAATGAAATGCCCCATTCTTTTTGTTTTTTTCTTCCAAAACCCTTCTCTCTGTCATTTACTCCCTGTTTGTTGTTTCAAACTTTGTTTTGTGCTCAGAGGGGAAATCAGTGACTACCACAGTCTAGGAATATCTGATAAATTAGTCTTTATTTCCACAAAAAGTCCACTGTGTCAAGAATTAAGTAACTTTTACATCGTCGAAGGTCAAACATGTTTCTTTCTTTTCAATAAAGATATAGTCACTACATGTAAAAAATAAATAATGTTTAAAGATCTGAAAACAAAAAGGGTAATTTGGAGGGAGAAAAAATATATATACAAGGGCTGGAAAGAAGGGTATGAACCTCATAAATGGGTTCTCTAATTTGTCAAAAAATCTGGATACATTTTATGTAACTCTAATAAAAATACATTGTATTTATTTACGTGTTCAACTGTCAAAAGTGAATAAATAATAATAATAATAGTGAATAAACAATTAAAGTTAGAGACTATCAATAGAGAAATGTGCCCAAGGGTACTAAACATATCATGTTTATATATATATATGTAGTACATCCTTCATATTGTCTGTAGCTTGCACTTCGATTTACAATGTTTTTAAATGTACTTTGTCCGTGTGTTTTTTTTGTTTGTTTTTTATTGTTTTCTTTTCACCAATGTCTGTTTTATATTCTTTTTAGGTATTTTACTACCAAGATGTTAAGTGCAGAGAGGAGATGTATGATAAAGACATTGTGATGCTTCAGGTATATTTAATTGTTTAAAATTAAAAGACACAGATTGAACCAAAAACTGATAGAAATTTGAGAAAGTCCTTATTTGTATAAATTGTGAATCTAGGCAGAGTAATTAATTTACTTTTAGTATGTACTATTAATGTGTTAAACCCGTCATGACCGAACTGACATTATACATTTGCCACAGCATGGTACAGACAATGGTCATCTTAGATCTTTCACTCTGGCACAGGCTTGTCTTGATGGTGCCAAGATCGAATATAATAGCCATCTGAGTGACTGCCCCTAGATGTGTTCTGAGGCAGCATTGTAAACACTGCCTTTTCTCTAAAAAGCTAATGTTTACACTGCTCGCCCTGCAGAGACTTACACATATACACATCAGAACCATTACATCTGGTGACTATAATGGCCCTTTAAATTTGAAATTAACTTTGAAAACATCTTAAATCCTACCTTTAGTGAATAACCATCTCTGTGTATATGTTTGTAATGAAAAAGTTGCTCATATATATGCTCACAAATCATATTATAACTGTAATTAAGTGGAATATAAACTTCTTGTTAAAGATCAGATCTTGCACATTTAACTATTTTTATGATTTTAGATTGAAATACCCGTTTAATATGATTCTGCAATTAACACTGTCTCTCTGTTGCCTGATTTGCACAAAATGTGTTGGCGGTTTAATTTTTTCAGTGGAAATATCACTTACTTAGTAATTTTCTGTAAAACTGTGCTGTGTCCTGACAACTTGGGAAGAAAAAAACCTTCTTAATACTCACACGTTGTAATATATTATCTGCAGATTGGAGCTTCCTACATGGACCCAAATCACTTCCTTCTATTGATGCTCCAAAGGTTTGAACTGGAAGCATTTTTCTCTACGGGTTCATCGCCCACCAAAGATATGGTAATGTGTGTTCTTAACTT